CATGTTCTGGGGTTGTTAACCAATGTCATAAAACAATATGTGTACCGACTGTTTAATGAGAAGTAACTACTTGCTCTGTAAACCTTCGCCTAAAGTACAAAAAAAAAAAAAAAAAATTTGAGTCTCTGGGTGATGCAAATAGTTAACACGCCCAGGCCCTAACCAAAAGGTTGAAAATTCAAGTCCAGAGGCACCTCGGAACAAAGGCATCGTGATCTACTTCCCATAAAAATCAGCCACTGGAAACCTTATGTTGCACAGTTCTACTCTGACACATATGGGCTCGCCATGAGTCAATGTTGACTCACGGCAACTGGTATTATTAGTTAGCCCTTCTACTTCAGACAGAATAACTCTACTATGGAGAAGGGCAGTGTAAAACTTTCCAATCTTGGGAGAAATACCCCTTTACAATTTGTAATTCACTTTGTTCTGGCTCTATATTTGCCCAACAAATATATTTGTGTGGCAGAAAGATTTGACTATTTACAATATTGAGTGAAAAGAGCATTGGACCTGGTAGGGCTCTAGGTGCCCTGCTCATTTCCGATGGCAACATCCAAAACCGTCCCTTTTCTAGGTCTGAGTGTCCACAGCTTGTCAAGCCCTCTCATGCCTTTGCTCAGGCCATTCCCTCTGTCTAGAGGAACCTTTTGTCCTTGCTTCTTCTGGAGGACTTTCACTTGTTCTTAGAAACACTTTTCACATGTTGCTTCTGGGAAACTTTCCATCACCTCCAGGAAGAAAGTGGGTAATTAGTAAATTAACCATCTGTTTTGCCTGCCAGGTGGTTAACACTTTTTCAGCTTTATATCCCAAGCACCTAAAACACAGTGCGTGTAACATAGTCGCTGCTCAGCAGACACTGCCTGAAAGAATGAATGAACCCACCTTCAGACAGAGAGACAAAGAAGCAGAGAAAGACTGCACTCGTTCGTCTAAAGTTTCTGAGTTGTAAAATTCTGAGGCTGATCCTAGTTGGGAGGATTTGCAGAGCAGAGGTTTTATTTCCAAGGTTTCTCATAATATTTGCTGTCCTTAGGCAAGATCAAGGTCATCTCTGGGAGGGAAAGAACTCACAACAGGGCCAACCATGGACAATTCATAAAGCAGAGCCTCGGTGTATTTTCAAATATACACTCTTAACAAGGTGCCTTCTGCTCTTCAAAGTCAGTGCCTACATGGATCCCTGTTACAGAATCCATAGGATGTGTCCACCAAAGTATTGAGAATAATAACTACTTAATTCATTGCCTGCATAATTTGCACTGGACAGGCTTCTTTATTAATTCATTAATAAATGAGTGTATTAATTCAACAAAAACTCTACTAAAAAGAGATACAACTCCCCAGTTTCAAACTGCTCATAGTCTAGTGATTTGGAAAACACTCCTAAGTGTCAGGGTAGGGTAGTTCATTCGGTCCTCTGGAAACTCAAGGAATGGGCCCCTCAGTCTACAAAGCAGTGGAGGGGTTCCTGCATAATATGGCTTGATCTGAGCCCTGGAGCATGACTGAACTATATTAGAATCACTGAAAAATGGCAAGCGAATGAATGTTATACATGAGGACAAACAAGAGGCAGAAAAAGATGGGCAGGATGGCAGTGTTTGAACCATGAAGATGTGCAAATTTCTATTTTGTTCTCTAATTCCAAGCTGTAGCGCCCTGTTTCTAGCTGCCTGCTGGACAGCAACATGAACTACACTTACTCATTGATTAATTTCTCTCTGCCAAACTTGTGCTGGGCATTCTGGGAAGAAATGTGACTAGGTCCATGAAACAGAGGTGTCTGCAACCTAAAGGAAGAGAGACAAGAGATTAAGAGCTATAAGCCAGTGGCAAGCACAGCTCCAAGGGAGCAAAGAAAACTCATCATATTCCTTCCCTAACTGCAACTTTTTCTAGCTTTCTCACATCCTCACTGTTCTCCTAGTTGCCAAAAGTGAAAACCATAGAGTTGCTGTTAGCATCTCCCCTCCCTGGGCCTCCATATATAAATAATTTATGATAATCAATGTTAAGTCCTACTGACTCCATGTCTGGGTGTGCTTTAAAATACTCAAGAGAAAAAAAATGTGTGTGGGGATAAGGGAAGCAACAAGTTTAGCAGGGATTTAAGCAGGGTAACGTTACGTAGGGGTTTATTATATTATACTTCCTACATTCGTGTAAGTCTGGAAATTTCCATAGTAAAGAGTTAAGGAGAAATGGAATAACCAGAGTACAATTAAAGAGAATGTTGACACATTGTGAAAAATGTAACCAATGTCACTGAACAATTTTTGTGGAAATTGTCCGATGGGAACCTAATTTGCGGTGTAAAGTTTCACCAAAAACACAATAAAATATTATTAAAAAAAAAAAAGTTAAGGGATAAAACTCACTTTGAATAGTGCGATAACAACTTTCTAAAACACAAAGACATATATACCTGCTAAATAGAAATGCATAAAACAATTATCTTTATCCTAGTATGATAGGAAATTCTTCACATTTTTCTTTATTTCTATATTTTCTGAATTCTCTACAATGAGCATACATTTCTTCTTTAATAAGAATATGAACTATAAGTATTGTTTGAAATAAAATTAGATGAAAATGCTTTTAAAATTTTATAGAAAAACCCAAACTCACTAACCTTGCTTTCAAAATACAACTTACTTCCCCAACCTAACCCCAAATGACTCCTCTACAGCCAGATTCCTGGGGTTGAATATTTACATAGATTGTTTTTCTATTTTGTTTCCTAATTCCAATTTTGGCATACCAGACTGTAGGCCCAAGGATATCCAAAGATTTAAGAAACACAAGCCTCAGACTTAAATTCCACTGCTCTTACTGACCGTGTGACCTTATGCTCTCTCTGTCTCCATTTCCTCATCTGTAAAACAGGGGTAAAAACAGAATCCACCTCATCGGGCCTTTATGGTTCCAAGTGTTAATTTATATAAAGCCCTTGGAATGACATTTAGTACTCAATTGGTTAACTATCATCACTATTACTCATGCCCAGTACATATCTCACATAGTCTCCCACTTATTCAACAATATGTGCACACTTCTGTAACAGAAACATTTACTAATGAATGAGGTAACTTTTCCCACTCAGAACAGAAAAAAGGAGGAGGATACTAATCCTGTAACTGTTGGCCTCTGCTGCCAGGAGCCCTGGGTTCATTCCCTGCTCCTCTGAAGAGCCCTCTTTTAGAAATCAGGGTAGAGGAAAGAAAGGAGGCTGAGCCCAAGCATCTGTGTCTGCAAAGAACCACAGAAGCTACCCCGTCTGGAGGCGATGCAGTCCTTAAACAACAGATCAGAAGTAGTCCAGAAAATGCTCCCTTTGCTGCAGGGATCAGAGAGAAGAGCCAGTGGCACTTTCAGGGGCTTCCGGAGAACGAGATGTTTTCCGAATATTATAACAGAGTTAATATTAGCAAAGGAGCCCTGGTGGCGCAATGGTTAAGCGCTTGGCTGCTAACAGAAAGATTGGTGGTTGGAACCCACCAACAGCTCCCCGGGCGGGGAAACACCTGGCGATCTGCTCCGGTAAATATTTCAGCCTAGAAAACCGTATGGGGCAGTTCTATTCTGTCCAGTAGGGTCGCCAAGTCGGAATCCATTCCATGGGCACATAACAACAACAATAATATTAGAAATCAACGCTTTGTCAGGCGGCAGCACTGTTCTAAACATTTGACTTGTATCATTTTATTACTTCTCAAATAAAAAGGTAGTAGGTAAGTACTCCTAATATCCCTTCTTACAGAATAAAACATTGTGGCACAGAGAGATTAAGTTGTTGCCCAACGTTACACCGCTAGGAAGTAGCGGAGTGTATGGAACATTGGGCGGGGAGGCAGGCCGGGCAGCCGAGCGCCCAGGAGACCCCAAACCCTGCACAACCCCGGGACGCGCAAACTGTCCCAAAAGCTAAGAGGCTCCGCCGAGGGGAACGCAAGCAGCCGCCCCTACCCTTTAACCCAATCCGCCGCGGCTGACTGCGGCTCTCGGCCCAGTGAACAAGGGTCGCTGTCGCTAATCTCACAACTAGGCCATAAAAGTTTAAGGGGATAACGAGGTCCGGGGTCTCACTCACCTCTCTAAAAGGAACGAAGGCCGCAAGCTCAACCTCCTGGAGCGAACCTGCCTCCAACTACACAGAGCTCCTGGACTACATTTCCCAGAATTCCCGAGAGGAACACGCGACACTACCCCGGCCCTTGGAGCGGAACTGTCTGTTCCAACACCTGCAGCCTGTATAAAATTTCCCAGAATCCCTGCTTGGAAGAGGCTCCCTAGTCTCGCCCTCACGTAGCCAAGATACTTCCAAACACGCAGACCTCTGGATTATATTTCCCTATTTCCGTAGCGGAGCAAATGAAACAGGTGCACTTTCCCGGAGCGGAAGTGCCTCCAAACACAGGGAGTATCTGGACTACACGTCCCAGAATCCTCCGTAGGGCTTCCCCGCCAATCTGCAATTTTCCTTTAAGAATTAGCTGGTGGAGTCGTAATCAGTATTCTGGGACTTGTAAAATTCTGGCTTGCGTTTTCTTTTTCTCACCTTTCCCCTTTTGCACATGACAGACGCTGGAAATTTGAAAAGGAAATGGAAATAATTGTAACAGCGTGTAATGTATGAATTAAAAATAGAGATCTTACAAGGGATCTGGTTGCTAACCCTATCTCTGATAATGGTTTAATATCCAGAATATATAAAGAACTTCTACAACTCAAAAACAAAAGGACAAACCATTCAATCAAAAAACGGCTAAGAACATGAATAGACATTCAGTAAAGAATACAAATGGCCAATAACCACAGGAAAAGTGGATCAATGTCATCAGCCTTTGGGGAAATGCAAATCAAAACCATGATGAGATATCAATTCACAACCACTAGAATGGCTGTTAATTTAAAAAAAAATACAAAACAAAACAAGTATTGGCAAAGATCTGGAGAAATTGGAACCCTCATCCATTGTTGTTAGGTGCCATCAAGTTGATTCCAACTCATACCGACCCTCTATGTACAACCGAATGAAACACTGCCCAGTCCTGCACCATCCTCACAGTCGTTGCCATGTTTGAAACCACTGTTGCAGCCAGTGTGTCAATCCATCTCGTTGAGGGTCTTCGTCTTTTTCACTGGCCCTCTACTTTACCAAGCATGATGTCCTTCTTCAGGGACTGCTCCTTCCTGATAACATGTCTAAAGTATGTGAGACGAAGTCTCACCATTCTTGCTTCTAAGGAGCATTCTGGCTGTACTTCTTCCAAGAAAGATTTGTTCATTCTTCTTGCAGTCCAGAATTCAAAAGAAGCCAATACCACAATTCAAAGGCATCAACTCTTCTTCTGTCCTCCTTATTCATCATCCAGCTCGTGCAAGCATATGAGGCAATTGAAAACACCATGGCACTGGTCAGGTGCACCTTAGTCCTTAAAGCGATATCATTGCTTTTTAACACTTTAAAGAGATCTCTTGAAGCAGATTTGCCCAAGGCAATGCATTGTCTGATTTCCTGACTGCTACTTCCATGGGTGTTGACTGTAGATCCAAGTAAAATGAAATCCTTGACAACTTCAACCTTTTCTCCATTTATCATGATGTTGCCTACTGGTCAAGTGGTGAGGATTTTTGTTTTATATTGAGGTGTAATGCATACTGAATGCTGTGGTCTTTGATCTTCATCAATAAATGCTTCAAATCCTTTTCACTTTCAGCAAGCAAGGTCTTGTCATCTGCATATTGCAGGTTGTTAATGAGTCTTCCTCCAATCCTAATGCTGCATTCTTCTTCATATAGTCCAGCTTCTCAGATTATTTGCTCAGCATACAGATTGAATAAGGATGGTGAAAGGTTACAACCCTGACACACACCTTTCCAGACTTTAACCATGCAGCATCCCCTCGTTCTGTTCGAGTGACCATCTCTTGGTCTAAGTACAGGTTCCTCATGAGCATAATTAACTGTTCTGGAATTCTCATTCTTCACAATATTGTCCATAATTTATTATGATCCACATAGTTGAATGCCTTTGCATAGTCAATAAAACACAGGTAAACATCTTTCTGGTATTATCTGCTTTCAGCCATGACACACCTGACATCAGCAATGATATCCCTTGTTCTATATCCTCTTCTGAATCTGGCTTGAATTTCTGGCAGTTCCCTTTTGATGTACTGTTGTAACTGCTTTTGAATGATTGTCAGCAAAATTTTATGTGTGTGTGCTATTAATGACATTGTTCAATAATTTCTGCATTCTGTTGGATCTCTTCTCTTTGGAATGGGTTCAAATATGGATCTCTTTCAGTTGGTTGGCCAGGTAGCTGTTTTCCAAATTTCTTGGCATAGACAAGTGAGTGCTTCTAGCACTGCATTCGTTTGTATTCTGGTATTCCATTAGTTCCTGGAGCCTTGTTTTTCGACAATGCCTTCAGTGCAGCTTGGATGTCTTTTAGTACATTCAGTTCTTGATCATATGCCACCTCCTAAAATGGTAGAACATCGACCAATTCTTTTTGGTACTATGACTCTGTATTCCTTCCATCTTCTTTTGATGCTTCCTGTGTCATTTAATGTACCACACATCTGTCAGTTTGTCACACTGTGGCGGCTTGCATGTTGCTGTGATACTAGAAGCTTTGCCATCCATATTTCAGGTTTCAGCAGAGCTTTTAAACTCAGATAGACTTGGAAGAAGGCCCTGGCAGTCACTTCTGAAAAGAATTGGCTAGTGAAAATCTTAAGAATAGCAGAACATTGTTTGATATAGTGCTGGAAGATGAGCACCTTAGGTTGGAAGACACTCAAAATACGACTGGGGAAGAGCTGTCTACTCAAAGAAGAGTTGACCTTAATGATGTGGATGGAGTCAAGCTCTTGGGAACTCATTTGCTGGTGTGGCATGACTCAAAATGAGAACGAACAACTGCAAACATCCATTAATAATCAAAATATAGAATGTATAAAGTATGAAACTAGGAAAATTGGAAGTTGTCAAAAATGAAATGAAATACAAAAACATCGATATCCTAGGCATTAGTGAGCTGAAATGGACTGGTTAGGCCATTTTGAATCAGAAAATCAAATGGCATACTATGCCGGGAATGACAAAGAGGAATGGCATTGCGTTACTAATCAAAAAGAACACTGCAAGATCTATTCTGAAGTTCGACAGTGTCAGTGATAGGATAATATCAATACGCTTACATGGAAGACCAGTTAATATGACTATTATTCAAATTTACACACCAACCACTAAGGCTAAAGATGAAGAAATTGAAGATTTTTACCAATTTCTGCCAAACACGCAATCAAGATGCATTTGTAATTACTGGCAATTGGAATGCAAAAGTTGGAAACAATGAAGTATAACTAGTAGTTGGAAAATATGGCCTTGGTGATAGAAACGATGCTGGAGACTGCATGACAGAATTTTGCAAGACCAACAACTTCTTCACTGAAAATCTTTTCTCAACAACATAAATGGCAACTATACATGTGGACCTCACCATATGGAATACGTAGGAATCAAATTACCTACATCTGTGGAACAAGACAATGGAAAAGCTCAATATGATCAGTCAGAACAAGGTCAGGGTGGACCGTGGAACAGACCATCAATGGCTCATATTCAAGTTCAAGTTGAAGCAGAAGAAAATTAGAGCAAGTTTACAAGAGCCAAAGTACGACCTTGAATATATCTCGCCTGAATTTGGAGACCATCTGGAGAACAGATTTGATGCATTGATCAGTTATTACCAAAGACCAGACGAGTTGTGGAATGACATCAAAAACATCATACATCAAGAAAGCAAGAGGTCATTAAAGACAAGAAACAAAGAAAAGATCAAAATGGATGTCAGAAGAGACTCTGAAACCTGCTCTTGAAAATTTGAGTAGCTAAAGCAAAAAGAAGAAATGATGAAGTAAAAGAGCTGAACAGAAGATTTCAAAGGACAATTCCAGAAGACAAAGTGAAGTATAATAATGACATGTGCAAAGACCTGGAAATAGAAAAGCAAAGGGAAGAACACGCTCTGCATTTCTCAAGCTGAAAGAACTGAAGAAAAAATTCAAGCCTCAAGTTGCAATATTAAAGGATTCTACAGGGAAAATATTAAACGATGCAGGAAGCATCAAAAGAAGATGGAAGGAATCCACAGAGTCACAGTACCAAAAAGAATTGGTCGACATTCAACCATTTCAGGAGGTAGCATATGATCAGGAACCGATGGTACTGAAGGAAGAAGTCCAAGCTGCACTGAAGGCATTGGCGAATAACAAGGGTCCAGGAATTGACAGAATACCAACTGAGATGTTGCAATAAATGGATGGAGCGCTAGAAGTGCTCACTTGTCTATATGAAGAAATTTGGAAAACAGCTACGTGGCCAACCGACCAGAAGAGATCCATATTTATGCCTATTCCCAAGAAAAGTGATCCAACTGAACATGGAAATTATCGAACAATATCATTAATATCAGACAGAAGTAAAATTTTGCAAATCATTCAAAAGCTGCTGCAGCAGTACATCACTAGGGAACTCCCAGAAATTCAAGCCAGATTCAAAAAAGAACATGTAACTAGGGATATCATTGCTGATGTCAGATGGATTCTGGCTGAAAGCAGAGAATACCAGATAGATATTTACCTGTGTTTTATTGACTATGCAGAGGCATTCGACTGTGTGGATCATAATAAATCATGGATAACACTTCGAAGATTGGGAATTCCAGAATACCTAACTGTGCTCACGAGGAACCTGTTCATAGATCCAGAGGCAGTTGTTCGAATAGAACAAGGGAATACTGTGTGGGTTAAAGTCAGGAAAGTGTGCGTCAGGGTTGTATCCTTTCACCATACTTATTCAGTCTCTATGTTGAGCAAATAATCTGAGAAGCTGGACTACGTGAAGAACATGGCATCAGGATTACAGGAAGACTCATTAACAACCTGCATCATGCAGATAACACAGCCTGGCTTGATGAAAGTGAAAAGGACTTGAAGCACTTACTGATGAAGATCAAAGACCAGAGCCTTCAGTATGGACCACACCTGGACATAAAGAAAACAAAAATCCTCACAACTGGATCAGTAAGCAACATCATGATAAACAGAGAAAAGATTGAAGTTGTCAAGGATTTCATTTTACTTGGATCCACAATCAACACCCATGGAAGCAGCAGTC